CTTGTTTTACTATATAGTCCTTTTCTTAGTACATGCTGTCAGATCGTCAGACTTTTAAAAACGAATAATAGTACTGTACCTTGAGATGATGAGTCAGCACTGGCACAGGACGCCATAACGACGAAATGTGACAAGCGAAATTTGATTAACAGCTGAGATCGTTGTGTATTAGTGTAGTAAGTATAAGATCTCGTCAGAAACAATATTTTTCCGCAAATGCTGACGACACTTCATGTGAACATTCTAGAATAATTGAATAAATGGCGATTGAATATTCCCGGGATTCCCCTTAACAAATGGAATAAAGGTCATCATTATGTTGAGTGAACTGCATTTATAACAATGAGTGACAATTAACTTTTGTCTTCATTTTATTTGGTTTCCCATACATATTAATGGCATATTTTACCTGGATAATCGAGCTAATTTCGACTCATCGGTTAAAAGTTACCAAAGTCGAGACAAGTAATCTCCCATGAGCCTTTGCAAAACTGAACGTCATCATTCGGATTGGTAGCCTCGATTTCAAGTCTTCAGTGTAGGTTCATGAGGGGTGTTGTGGAACCCCATTCCACGTAATATTATTCATTTATCACTGTATTCCGGTGAAATATTTTTTTAAAATGTCGAAGACCGAACAAGCACTGATCCTAGAACCAAGTGGCGAGCTTAGATTTAGAGGTAAGCGTCCCAACAGCCATCGCTGAAAGTTCGGGCGACGTTGAACGAAAATTGTGTCCGCAATCCGCCATATTGGACCGATTACGTGCTTTATGATGGCTATTGTAGGGTGCGATCTGCGATTTTGAAGGTGTTGATTTTTAATGTTTATGCGCAATATAATTAAAAAATATCGGGCGCACGCAAAATTATGATTTGTTCAAATCATCTCCGTATTGTCTTTAAATAATCGCTGCGCACTCATTTTGTACCCACATGATATCTCATTGGTTGGATGTATGCACTATGTCATAAATTCCCGTGTACACCTATTTTTAAATCTAGGCAAAAATAGATCACCAGAATGATAACATGTGAGGGTTACCATGTAACTAATATATTATCAGTTTGATTATACTTAATTAATTGTCATGCAGCAAGTGAATTAGGAACTATAGCTATATTAATTAATATTTACAAACTGACAATGCCGTCATGGTTAAATCAAATGTCAATTTCCTTGTTGTAAAGGATTTGTAGATCAATGAAAATATGTTTCATTTCGTCTTTTTTAGGGGAGGGGAAAAAAATATACATTTTATATTATTTAAAAAAACAACTGGTGGCTACTGTATCTAATCATTTTTAGTTACTGCACAGTGTACTATTTGGACAGAAGGGTCATAAGTCCAAAGTTCCTTTCATGTCATGTCTGTGTGCAAGTTCAGTAACATGGATAGATTCCAGCTTCATATTTTTATAAATCTACTTTCTTCATTCGTCTTACATGCCTGGTATGTTATGCATATTATGATCTGTCAACTTGTATGAACTGTACATATGCACAATGGTTATTATTGTTATTGTGACCTAAATGTTTTCTAGTCCCTGTTATCATTGAGCGACTTGCCTTTTGTTTATAAAAGGTTTGTTTGAAATTGTATTCTTGACATGCAATTATTCAATTGTATGTAGTGTTCCAACCAACAGCTGTACCATGTCGATGACCTTTAATTTTTGTATTAACTGGGACAGCTCCAAGACCATGGCATCAGAGTGGGTGATATTTACATGTGGTATTCAGCTGCCTACTCAACCACTGCCATGGATCCTGCTATAGCAAAATATTTGTGGATGTGCAGTTTTGGACTGCATAAATGAACCAAACACAATAATGACCAGAATCTCTATTTATCTCAATTAAATAATTTCTGTTGTAGTCATACAATGTAACTCTAACCCTCGCTCCCAATTCAATTGTATATGTCCCCTCTAGATAACTATAAGTGTCCTGAGGAGGGGCATATATACAATTAAATTAGGGAGTGCTGGTGGGTTGGAGTTAAAATTAAGGTTAGATGTGGGATACAAACGGAACTCTTTCTTTCTCAGTTGTGCGTATATACATATTGACTGCATTCTGTTTTACTAATTCGTCCTATATTTGCTATAGTAAGATCCATTCTGGTGTTTTAGTGGGCAGCTGTCTACTAAATGTCAAATTCAGACACACTGACCATGCTGTGGATGTATTGTTACTTGAGATTATATAATGATTTTTGCTGTTTGAGTGAATGAGTCTGCTACACTTCAATCTGGTATACTTTTTGCATCAGTAATTAGTAATTACAGTAATTAGTGAAAATCTACATGGACCACACCTAAATATTGCTATTTGTCATTTGTTTACAGGTCCTTTTACTGATGTTGTGACATCAGTACTCAAACTAGTAAATCCTACCGACAAAAGGGTATGTTTCAAAATAAAGACCACTGCACCTAGGAGATACTGTGTTCGACCCAATAGTGGTATTGTAGAAGCAGGCTCAACTGTTAATGTGTCAGGTAAGTCAACATGATATCAATTCTTCTCTTGAAGGTGTTTCACTGATGCACTAGAATTCCTTGTTGATATAACCAGGAACTATAATAATGTTTTATGCTATGTATTTAGGGTTTTTCCTTATTCGCTATGAACATTTTTCTCCTGTGAAAATATTTATTTACAATAAATTATTCTTCATCGATTGGATTCATATGTGATGTCAGAATTTGATAACAAATGTATGCTTTAAAAAAAATGGTAAACAGATAACAATTTTAATAAATTGCAAATGAATGTGCGTCCCATATTTGCTGTGATAGAATTTCTAGTAGAAATACTGGACTTCCCAGGTAATAAGCCCAGGGGCCTCAACATGTGAAATCTGGAAAAGTAAGGGGTGGGCATATACCGAATTAGGGGGAATATGACATCTTTTTGGTAAACTCTGATTTGCGAAATGAGTTGACGTGTCATTGATTTCCATAGCACTTTCACAATGTAGAAGCAAACATTTTTACAAAAAAATATTTTATTACAATATTATTTACGCACCATCTGAATTTACGGTGTAACATTTTTTAGGGTCTGTGGGACTTGAAGACAAGAACTTCCAAAATCATACACAAACTCGTGATGGAAAGCAATTTCTCCCATGTTTTTCTGACGGTTGAGCTAAAACAATGTCCTCTGACCTGATAGTTCAAGTCTCTTATTAACCTATCAGATTGCTCTGTCATACTGACACATTTTCTATAAATTTCTGAATATTGGCTATGGGTATTTTTTGACGCAATACCGAAGTAAATGACCCTCATATTAAAAATATGATTGTAATTTATGTAATTTTTTGAAAAATCTGTCCTGTATACGATTGCAAAAGTTACTTGTACATTATAGTAGCTCTAATTCATCATACTAATTGATTTAATCCTGACTTCTAAGTACAGTCAAACCTCGTTAGTGCGAATATCAAGGCCCCAGGCAGTGTTCTCCCCAGACTCTAAGCCAAGCATCGCGGCTAATTTACATAACAATACATCTTATTTGCATAATTTTGTTTGCATAATAATTAGTTTCCCCAACAAACATTATAACTGAAATAAAGAAGAGATACATATCCCATATATTTTTATCATTTACATTCATTGTGTTTTATGTGTGCATCAAGTCAAATAAAGTTTGAAATAGAACATTCATTGTTCTATCTATTATTTGTGTAACGCTACGATCACCGTAACATTGTCAGCTGACGGCATTGCGTTGAACGGGTATTCACCGCTGCTGTTGCGATCATCGGTCCCTGACTTTTTT